GACCACCCCACTGATGTGTGAATGCGTGCATGAAGGGATAAATGACAGGCTAATTTGTAAAAAAAAAAAAGAAAGAAAAAACACCTCAGGTACAAGGGTACCTATAGGCACAGTCCATTTACTACATCAGAGCATTCCTTCTGACAGTTCTGGCCTGAAGCTCTGTGGTGTGAAACTTTCCTTATTACTCTTAGGTAACATTGCAGTAAGTGACACTTAAGCTGGAGCAGAACATGTGGCCCTTTAAAGCAATTTGGATGAAAATGTGGCTGAAATGAGTGATTTATAACAAGTGTATGCAGTTAAGAGAGTTTGGTGACTCTGGCTTGTGAACAACTATCATAGAAAAGGGTAAGAAATTTACAGAAATGTTCTTGCATGATATCTAGTGTGTGTTTGTGTTTTTTTATTTTATTTTACAGTGTCCCTGGCAAGCTGAGGCAGTTTGTATTGGACCTTCACTCCGGAAAGCTTCACCGAGAGTTTCACCATGGGCCTGACCCCACAGACAGCACACCCGGACAGGTCAGCAGATAGTACGCAATTGCTGAATGTTGGGTTTACGATGTCACATGAAATCTGACTGTTTTGAATTTGACCTCTACTGTCAGGAGGAGACGGGAGAAGTGGCCAGCAGCCCCCCAGAGAGCTCTTTCCAGAAGCTGGCACCCAGTGAGACCCGCTACACCATCCTCAGACGGGACCGCGACGAGCTGTGATGTCAACTAGCCTCCAATTATCCTGTGACTCAATGCCACGCCCCGGGGTCAGGGAGGGGGTTAGGGTTGGGACAGGCCAGTGCAGCAGAACAGCAACACCCGACACCCTTACTGAAGAGAGGGAGATAGAGAGACGAGGAGGAGAAAAAGAAGAACAGGAGGAGAATATGAGAGGAGTTCAGTCCATGACACAACCATGTCGGAGTAACCTATATTTTCATAACTTTTTCAAGTACAATTTTTATTTTGGATTATAAGGATGGGAGCTAAGAAGAAAATTTGTTTGGGCAAGGGGTTAGGAGCATTAGGACATCAAGAGAAGTGTTTTTACTTTTATTTTTTGGAGCTTGTAAATATGTTTGTGCCACATGGGAGTCTCTCATTGTTGGTCTAAATTAAAAGCAGTTTTCTTTATTTTTTTTCATCACCCTGCTTTTTGTAGGAAAAAAGCAGAACAGTTCCACCACTGCAGTTGTACAGTTCTTATCTGTGGGTAGTCCAGTTCAGCCAGTCTGATAGGAGTCACTTGTTTAGTCTCATGGACCTCATAGCTGCATCTGGATATGACCAACTCTAGACTAAATCATTTGTAGAGGACAGGTTATAGCAATATGCCTGTTTAAATTAGTTTCACCTACATATCTTTTCCACACACACACGGATCTGAAGGAATAGCTAAATATTTTTAAATACTTAATAGGGATAACATCATTTCACATCTTGACCTGAGGGAGAGCTACTCTAGCCTATTGAGATGCAGCCTTTCTCTCCCTGGGACTAAATGGTAATATATTATGATGTCTCTTACAGTGCTTAGAAAAAGTATTCACCTGTGGAATCTTTCTCATTCACTTTTTTTTTTAACCAGTGAAACACTGTGGATGTAATTAAGGTATTGTCATCAATCAACAGAAACCACAGTCATGTCAAAGTGAATCATACTGAATACTGTTGTAACCCTGCAGATTACCACAAATACATGAAGCCTGCTGGTGGCAGCAGCATGCTGTGTGGAGGCGCCTCTGCAGCAGGCCCTGCGAGGCTCGTGATGATACAAAGGGTCAAATGAAAGCAGCAAAGAGCAAAAGTCATTGAGTTCAAGAAGAAATACATTTCAAACATAAAGCCAGCTTAACATAGGAATGACCATAATAAGATGTCCACCACCAGTGTGTAGAAATTACATCTGGCATTGAAATTAAAGAATCATTTTCTGTTGATCAGTGTATAAAAGTCTAATTACATCCACAGCTGTAAAACAGCATAATATGAAAAGGTCAAAGGGAGGGGGGTGGTTACATTTCATAAGTACAGCATTTGTCAGAACACCTCTTGAGTTGTGTTCCTGCGAATTGAAGTAGAGAGAGAAAATGTTTTGTAATTTGTACCTCAACATGAATTTATGAGATGGCTGTTTTTGCTGTTGTCAAATGTGTCGTCACGCTGCGGGAGAAAATACTGTGTCCTTCCCAATGTTTTTAAAAAGCCAAGAGACAAGGGGAAAACCCAGATGATGAAAGGTGGAAATTTACACTCTGCCACTTTATACGAGTCCTCTTAAGACTGATTTTGTTATTTTATGTCTTTGAGGTTTTTGGTACAAGTCTAGAGCCACCGAGTGTGGAGGAAGCCAGATTAAGAGTATGGGGACCCATTGCTGTGTGACCTGCCCTTCAATAGAGGCCAATAGATCTCTGCATAGTGACATATCTGCCCACATACAGAAGAGCAATGGGGGGAGTGGGACGCCCTTTCTAATCCAGTCATCTCAGAGGGAAAGAAGAAAATAAGAAAAGTAAATTAAAAAACATTTTACAGGATGTTGTCTTATCTGGTGCATTGAACACCCATCTCTCTGAACTTTACTGCTGTTATTTACTGTTCTGTTCATCCAATGAATGACACCACTGTTGAAAAGAAACATTTTATTTGGCAGAAAACCAGCAGCGGTGTAATCAATACATGGCAGGTTCTTAGTCTCCTGTCTCTGAAGTGATCTAGACAGTGGCACTTCGGTGTGTTTTGTGCAACTGTGCTCTCACACAGCAAAAACAAGTCTGTATATACAGTATAATTTATATAAACTCTGAAGCAGCACCACTTTAATTTACATTAAATAAATGTAACATCACAGTGATGTTAAGCAAAACCATTTTCTTCATATATCATTCTTACTGGTAGTCTCAGTAGTACAGCTGTTCACATTGGGACCACCTTCTATATAAAGGAACACTGAGGCATGATAGTAGGTACATTTGCAGACTGGTAGGGAAAAGACGACAGAGGAACACACACACAGTGTAGTTAGCATTTGACAGAGCGGTTGTGTAGTTTGGTGCCAAAGTGAGGCACTCACAGCCACGGCAGGCTCATCCAACCACACACTAAAAGCTGCAGTGTAAATACCTGCTTTGCTGTGTTCAGAATAAAAAAAAAAAAAAAAGGCTGTTACTGCATATTTGTTTTACAGTGCTTGGTAACAGCGATGCTTGGCAATGACATCTGATAGGGAGTCTCTTTGAGTCTAGTTTGTGCTTCTGATTGGTCAGTTATCACACGAGCTTCAGTCTTTAACCAGTAGCCAGGGTCAGAGGATGGGCCTTAACTGTTGGGTCATTTGTCCTTGCTTGATTCAGGTTCCTGGTGGTTCTGTCAGTTTTTTCATCTGTAGATCCAGTTGGGCTTTGCGGTGTTTCTTGACCAGGCTACCCCCAGCGAAGCCCAGGGCGCCCCCTCCGATGGCAGCGGCCACCCCTGCAACTTTGAACCCAGCCAGCAGGCCAAGTGGACCTCCTAATACACCGCCCAGCAGTGCCCCAGCCACCGGCAGCACCGCCAACTTGTAGCCCACCGCCTAGACAAACGAGAAAAAGATGTGTTCTAGTTCTAACTGATCACATACAATACACACACACACACACACACCTGTAGGAGCATTAGTACTGAACAAGACAGACTGCGATAGAGTTTGGATTCATCTGCTCTTTCATGATCACACATCAACCCGCAGAAGGCGGAAAAAAAGAACACAAACTAACCTACATGTGTAAATGTAAACTGACACTTCCATAGATGCATCCAAGTGTTTTCATTATCTTCATTTAAGAGAAATCAGAGATGTGGCCTGCGTGTTATTGGCTGTTATCATCAGAGTGGAAGGTGCTTTTTGCTGATGGCAATTCATGACCGATTCTCTGACCATCCCCACACGCAGACACACACACACACACACACACACACACACACGCAGACGCACACTTGATTAACACTTCGCCACTAAATTAATCTAGTTCAAAAGCTAGCATCGCTTGTCCCCTCCCCTGTGGCGGTTGAGGAAATTTTAATTTAATCTCTGCCGAGTTAAAAGGATTCTGGGTACAGGTTGCAGAGGAAATGTGGGAGTTGTGACTACACACGTTAGGTGTGTAATGCTGTTTGACCTGATGACAGATTACAAGCTTTGAAACACGTCACGGCATCTGACATCCTCCCGTCATCTGCTTTATCTCCCCAACCCCCACTTCGTCTAATGTGCAGCCTACTACATCTGTCAGCAACCTTAAAGAGGGGGCAACCTTAAAGAGGGGTCAACCTTTGCTTGTGTCACCATTAGAATACTCTATTAATTGAAGTCTTGTATTTTATAGATACTGGGCCTAAGTTGAAACTGTTAAACTGAGCACACACAAAAAAGACTGCCACTTTTTTGTTTTTAATTGCTCAGTTATCTTTACTGACATCTAGCTTTGCAGATCATTATGTTTTATTTGGCCTAGATTCTGATATTGTCTGAGATTCCTGAAGCCATCCAGAAACAACAGAGGTTCAGTTATGGTGCTCACAAACAAAATAACTGACATGAGTTTGTTAGGCGTCTGTTTCCTAACACACACTGGGGTTCAGTGTGTTGCTCAGGGCCAGTCTGACATGTGGCCAGAAGAAACCAGAGATCGAACCGAAGCCTACAATTAATAATCGACCTCTCTACCGTATGAGCTTCAGTCACCCAAACTGTTATCCTAAGAACTGATAAAAATACAGTAATGCGTCTTTTTTCTTCTCAGACTTTTCTGTGAGCAGCCTTTAAATGGAACTACATTCTCTGAATGCTGAGAGAACCACAAAAGAAAAACCTCTATTGTACTTGAGTGGTGGCAGAAATGTGAGTAACCAGGACAAATCAGTATCTGCATGGCTAGATGGCATCAAAGGTAAGTGAGAAAATAGGTTTTTCTGTCATTTGAACAACCTGTGGCCGAAGAACGTATAAACAGCTATGAAAATGCTGCTTTTTTTATTACAGTTATCCAGTGTTAGCATTTGCAGGTTTTCCAGCACACAAGAATCATGACTCAGTGTCATCACCATCTCCTAGTGTCTGTAATTTACAGTCTAATTACTTCACACCTCCATTATGTTCCTAAAGGCGTGAGCAAAACAAAGATCAAAATAGACGCCTTCATCTGACAGATGAGCAGGGAGAATACCGAGAATAAATTTAGAAAAAGCCTTTAAAAAAATTTATTGACAGAAAACTGCTCACCGTTTTGTGTGTGTGTGTGTGTGTGTGTGTTGTAGTTTGAGAAAATAAGGTGATTCATTCTGGGCAGTACAGACAAAAAGTTCAACATTTCAAGTGTGTAATATGTGCGAAGGGCAGTGAGCTGTCACTCTGAGTTACACTCAGCGTATAACAGTGTAAGAGTGTACTGACAATGGAAGTCTGAATGCTGAGCCTGAAAAACTATTAAACAGTCATTCAAACTTCTCTTTAATGCCACACACACAAACACATAGGCCCTCTGTTGTCGCCCCTCTCATCCTACCTCTCTATCACTCTTCCTCCCCTCCGCTCCTCACTATCCCTCTCCTCTATTTCCTTAATTGCAGCTTTCCTCCGTATTCGAACGGATCAATAGGGACAAATGCTGTGGAATGGCTGGGAGGCAAAGTGCCATCGATCTCTCCATCTCCCAAACATCACACACACACACACACACACACACACACCTTCCCCAGGCTCTTGGTCCCCTCCTCCACGTTGGTAGCGGCTGTGTTGACGTTGCCCTCTATGCTGTCCATCTTCTCCTGCTGGGACTGATGCACAGGGGTTAGACACACACACAAACACATATTAACACATATACAAACAAACACCGATGCATATACACATATGCGAAAGAACAACCACCTGCCGTGTGCTAAGTTTTTGTCCAAATTCTGCTCTGTGGCACAAGATAACATGGAAAGCGTGGGTGTGAGTGTGTGTGGAGGCTGCAGGTATATTCAAGGGAGCATTGTGTAGGTCTCATGAAATATTCAGAATGGCAGCTGTCTCTCTCCATGTGAGGGCTGGGTGGACACAGTGACCAAGCAACAACCAGAGCACTTCTCCTCCTCCTCCTCCTCCTCCTCCTCTTTCTCACCTTTCCTCAATACTTTTGTGCTCTTTTCACCTCCATGCTCTGAACTCAAAGCCAAGTTATTTATGTCTGATTTTACCGTTTCCCATGCACGTACCCATGTTAAAGCTTTTATTTTGTTTTTGAGGAGCAGTGGCCGAAGATGGCAGTTTTACATCTCACCACTCAAATTTATAGATCACCTCTTCTTACACCGGGCAAACATTTTCTTATTTTCTGCACAGATTTTAAGCAAACAATGACCCAAATAGTAGGGCTGCACTGCACATGATACAACAGTAAAAGTGAATATTTGCCGTATAATCTGGTTATAATTCTTAATGGTGTTTATTGGTTTTGTGGTAATTTAGAGCACATGGAAAGCTCATTCCTGACACTCCTGTAGCTGACAAAACACAATCTTGTTGCAAGGTCCATTTATGAGCTGTAACAGTGCTCAACACAGTTTTTTAAATTCAACATCCACAATTCCATTTTCAACTTTCACTTTTTTTTTTTAAATTAAATCTTGTTTTTAATAGCACACCAAAGCAGTACAAGTGAAAAACATGTACACACTGTATGTACAATGCTCACTGATCATGTAAAAAAGACAGATATTTTGCTAGTTACAAAAAGCTATCTTAAAACCATTAATTAAATTCATGTAACTTATGATGGGATTTTGCCCTGTTGACACGCTCCAGAGTAAATACAAGAAGTACTCTATAAATGAATAACTAAATGCCATATTTGTCAGTTTTAACTTTAAGACAAAGCCCTAGAAGACACACAAAAGAAAACAACCTAGAGATAAGCACAGAAGCACACAGACAAACACCGGAACAGCCACTAACATGACGCATGTACAGACACAGACACAACCACACATTCACATTCACTCAGTATTTCCACTGTGGCTGAGCGCTGGAATATTACTCCCCTAACGGCCTCTGTCACCCCAGAGACACCACAACAACATGTCTATGGTCTTTCTGCCCCTCCTTAAGTCTGTCTGTTTTTTCATCTTACAGTAACTACATGTTCACTATCTCTCCTTCCCCCAGCCGCTCTGCTTCTCTCCCTCCATCCCCGAGGACACAATGATAATCTGAGCAGTCTGTTTTCCACCTGCTCCGATGTATCCCTTGTTCCCCTCCTCTCCCCCTGGTGGACAACCCACTGTCCTCCCTCTCAAATCCCCCCCTCTCCCCTGACTACTCCCCAGGCTCTCCTCTTGCCTGGATGAGGGGCCTCTGGGGCCCCCAGCAGTAGTCCTGAGCTGATCTGTGTAGCCTCTTCTCAGAGGAGCCTTTCCAGGCAACACAAGCACACATGGTGAAATACATACCACTTCCTGGAAACACTATAGGTGAACTGCCACATTGTCACACTGTGTTTTGTTCACAGGCAAAATGTGAATGTAGCAGCTAAAAAAAGTTGTTTTTACTCACGTGGACGAGCAGAGAGAACTCCATCACCAAACCACTCAGCTCCTTCAGATCCTGAGACAAAAATGGTTTATTTATTATGATGCTGAATCACATAAATAGACAGACAGATGTACATACAGTCATGGCCAAAAATACTCACACCTCTGCATTTCTATCAGATAACACACCACTTCTCCCACAAAATTGTTGCAATCACAAATTCTTTGGTATTCTCATGTTTATGTCTTTTGTTTGCATTGGAACAAAAAAGAAAAAAGCCAAATGTGATGTACTGATGCATGCAGGGAGATTAGCTACAGCGCCATGGGCTGTAGACTTCTTGACAATGCTGTGCACAGTGGACATAGAACAGCCAGATCTCTGGAGATGGACTTGGAGCCTTGAGATTGTCCAGATTCTCACATCCTCAGACAATCCTTTGCTCTTCTTTCTTTTCTCCATGCTCAGTGTGGTCCACACGACACAAAGGTTGAATCACCTTTGTTCCATTTTAACTGGTTACCAGTGTGATTTCTGTGTTGCCGGCACCTGTTTTTTTTTTTTTAAATAATTCTGTCCAGTCTATTTTTGGAGTTCTGTGTGAAATGTATCAGATTAGGCTCTGCACATCCTATACTTACATATTAAAAACCAGAGTCCATACATAAATAAAACAAAAGAAAAGTAAGTATAAACTAGAGTATGTATGATTGCTAAACTACAAGTTACTGTTCAAAAACATAGCAAAGGATAAAGTCCAGACATGCATACCACTTCCAGGTTGTCCCAGGACTCAGCTGCACTTTGATCTGCAGGGATTTCTGGAAGGTAGAGCTGTATCTGCCTGTCAGACACTGGCTCCTCACCCACCTCGTCATCAGCATGCCAGCTGCTCGACCCACAGCTGGTTGGCTGAGCTGCAGGTGCTGATGTGGGGTTAGAGTGCAAAAGCAGGAAGTCTTGTGCAGCTGCTGACGCCCTGTCTCTAACCGGCTTGACAAGTGCTTCCAGGGCGTCGGCGTCTTCAACACGGACTCGAGCGCACAGCTTCTCCATCTCTCTGATGTTAGCTCTCAGCTGCTGCAGGGAGATAAAAGGAGAAGCAGGTTTCTCAGTGAGACTAAGTGTCATGTCTGAAAATTTTGGATAAGGAGAAATGGACAGAAATGGAGTCAGAATCCTGGGACCCTTAATTCACAGACACATTAATTGACCAGAAAATAAACCAGAAAAACTTGTGGTTAAATCCACCCGCTACAGCAAAAACATCCATCCATCTATCCGTTATCTATACTGCTTATCCTAACAAGGGTCACAGGGGGGCTGGAGCCAATCCTAGCTGACACTGGGTGAGATGCGGGGTCCACCCTGGACAGGTCACCAGTCTATCACAGGGCTGACACTTAGAGACAAACAACCACACACATGCCTACGGGCAATTTAGAGTCACCAATCAACCTAAGCTGTATGTCTTTGGACTGTGGGAAGAAGCAAAAGATAAAACAATATAAAAAATACTAATATAACAACCAATTCTAATGATTTAAATCTGTACTGCCATGTAACACAGTTTAAACACAGGACACAAAATTCACAATAAATCCTAAGGGAATAGAACAGACGATATCCTAAGCAATAATTGTAATAAGAAAATATGTAAATATGTTCTAAATCCTTCTAAAAAGAAGTGCTCACGCTGAAAGGCGTACCCTTCCATTACACTGTTTTATTGATGAGAAGTGTGTGTGTTGGTGGGGGCTTAATAAAGTTTGGATACGAAACTGGGGAAAACAAGCCCCCTCATCTGGCCATGCCCTGAGGGTGACAGGAGGATTACATCCTAGCTATCAGCCCTCCAGGCCACAGCATGGCCTGGTCTTAAGGGGGTCAACATGCTGCCAATAACACATTCAGCCAATTACACAACATACATGTATACATTTATCTTCACATGCATAAACGTGAAAAACACACAGATTAACACCGAGATAGTTGGGTCAGGCACCTGTCAACCTGCAAATTAACCATGACTATGTGTAGCTTGAACACACACACACACACACACAGACCACATGCTCAATAGCAAACCTTCACTATAAAACAGTATTAACTCTGCACCCCTGTTTCAGTGCTTGATGTAGCTGCTGTGGTCAAGGTAGGGGTACTGAGTCACTGGTTTTGGTGCTAGCATAGTGTGAGTATGTGTCATTCAGCAGGGGGGAAGAGACTGCAGTCTGTCTTTCTGGTAGGAGAGACAAAGGACAGATGGGTAAAACGCAATGACGATAATCAGGATGAAAGAAATGCTGAATAAACAAACTGGAAAACATACTCCAGGACACATTAGCCCACCTACTCTCCATCTATGGAACATAGGCACATATGTACACACATACAGTACACACACATCTGTAGCAGAGTAAACTAGACATTACTCTGGATTAACACCATGAAGACACAGGAAAGCACTCTGACTGTGTCCCTGGGGTTCACCAGTTAATGGTGAAAGGATAGGTGTGTGCCTGTTTGGAGTTATTTCACCTTCAGAGACATGGTGTCTTCTAGGCAACAACACCCCCCGAGGCATTTCACAGCCACGACGTGAACAAGAACGCATGTACTTAAACACACACAAGAGATGGTCCATTTCAGGTAGTGGCTCTTTTCTTTCCTTTTTTTAATATTAAGAGTGAATTTCTACACAGAAAGCTGATTTACTTAATAATATCTAGTCCAGTCTTTTCATGTGTATATGTAGCTGTTTATGTATAAGAACAGAAGGTTAAGATAACTATAAATAAATTAATCTGAACAGATGTATTACATTGCTTTTAATCACATCACACATCTCAGTTGTCATGGAGATGGTTTAGTTGTAATCACATGACCTGTAAAGTAATAACGCGTGGGCACATACTGAAGGCGACTGTAACCCCGGGCTCTGCACTGATCTCTGGCGTCGAATACTTGGGTCACATGATAAAAAAAAAATCTCCATGACAACTCCATCTGCTGAGGAAGGCCATGAGGTATGGTTGAAAGCTCAGGAAACACCAAGCAGTTGGACCTTGTGTTGATAATTTCTTTGTCAAGCTGATCAGTTAGTGCTACTCCAGACAAAATGTTCGCTTTGCTCGTTGGAGCCTGGCACAGTTCAACAGGGATTTGTATGAGTCAGACATCAGTTCAAGTAGATGACTGACAGTTGTCTCTGTCACGGCGACATCAACATGAACACTCTCTATAATTAAGTGGACAAAGAAGCCACTCACTGTCCTGCCACTGGTCTTCACTTTTTATTTTCACCCTGCAAAATCTTTGGCAACACAAATAAGGAAACCTCCACTTTTTCCCAAACTGAACTCCTAAGTGTTAGACCATTTGAAACAAAAACATGCGGTTTCAGGGTCGTGCTTGTGCTGAGTCACATCATCATCATCTTAACTCACATTGAATAATATAGCAAAAGCCTTTGTGATGACATAGGCAGGAGATTATGTATGTGATGTTACTGGTTGACAACATAATATTGTGGCTCACTGTATTAGCAGGCCAGTTATCAGTCTCCTTACTTTTCACACACACAAACACCAATGTTTTTTAAGTGTGCACACTATCATCTTATACCTGAACAGTTCTGCTGGCATTGATATGCTCCTGATGAAGGCGATCCCACTGCTGGTTATGTTGGTACTGTGAAATTAGAGAAGCATCAGTTATTTATCTGTGAACCTGAAGTGCAGATGTTGATGCGAGGGTGAGATCATGTGTCCGGCCAGATTTCAGCTGTCACCTTTAGTATGTTATTGTGGTGTTTCTGCAGCCTTTCCAGGTCTGTGGGTAGAGCCACTTTAATGAACTTGTGGATCGGTGCCTCCAGGCGCCTCAGTGTCAGCTTGTTGCCTTCTTCTGCCATGTGTCCTGCTGACACAGCCCACAGCCACACCTCTGTGTAACTTTAGACACTGCACCTGCTTGTTTTTATCTATCTGCCCCAACAGACACTGTAAATACCAGCAGAGAATGATTTCAATAAATACATAAATCAAATTAATAAACTCTGTGACACATGCAAGTCTGCCCACACATCTAAAACTGGCATCTCCATAGGAGGAATAATTTTTTTTCTTGCCAGCATCCTCTCAGTGAAAAAAGCATTACTTGCATGATATATGGGAGTGTAACATCTATGCTGAACGCTTGTCCGTGCTGACCAATCCTTTAGTTAGCATTACTTGCATGATATATGGGAGTGCAACATCTATGCTGAACGTTTGTCCATGCTGACCAATCCTTTAGTCTGCAGAAAATTAATTGTCAACAATCTGGAGGTAACCCTAACAAGCTATCTCAATACATCACCTTGGGCACTGGGCAACTGTGAGTGGCATTCTCACAATTTTAAAATACAAATTAACCACTTTATTGGAATATAATTTAGAACGTGAATAATGCTAATATATATATATTTTTAAATGTGCTTTCTGAGACACCGACTGTCTAGTGAGTGAGAGTTATTTTCACGCTTATTAAGTGCAACATAAACGTGTAAAGTGAAACAAAATCTTGTGACTCTGACATTGCTTTTTACCATTTCTTGCGATCTAAGTTTTGGAGAGCACTGGTCACACATGGCGTTTGACAACACCTGGCTAGCAGGGTAGTAGCTTGTAGCTAAGTACTCAGTCTGACCGATTAGGCAGCATGAACCCTTTTGATGATATTATCCAACTCACTCATTCATCTACAAATCTGTCTACCCCAGTTCACTTTTAACCACATCTAGGTAAGTTAAACTTGAAAGACACACGACGACACTTACCAATTAAAATACCAATCAACGATATAAATTATATTCGCTGAAGACTGTTGTGGGCCTCCATACGATTTAGAAAATTAACGTCTAATCACATTTGCTAATTTTCGGCTACGCTTTCAGTTTTGTTTCTGACAAATTGACGTTTGTAAACACCTGCCTATTCTGTGCACCCAAGAATACTTTCCGGCTTCAACCAGCAACCACAGCACATTGTGTTCCTCTTTAATGTGTCCCGTAATATTATCCCAAAACCTGAAGTCACTGAAAAACTCTCCGAATAATCCTGTCATATTTGGTCATGTTGTGCTGTATCAAAAAGGTCCTGAATTCAATGAAAACAGTGCTCTTAACACACACTCTGTGCTATAACAGCTCTCAAAATTACCTTTTATTTATTGCCATTAAACATTTTCACAAAATGTTTAAGGGCCAGGGCTGTAGGACACATCGAGGACACACAGCTGCTGTTATTATTGGGTCATGTCTTAACATATCTGTTAAATTAGGGTTTAATAATAGGAATAGTTTATGTAGTACTGTTGCACATAAGGGTATTTCTTTTGCTGATTCTGTCTGAATATTTAGATTACATATCCCTGAATTCCATTATTAAGCAAACAGACAGAAAAAATATTTTATATAGATACATAAAATATACAGTTAAATTTGTTATACCTTTAAAAACCTTTTGTAACTTGTCAACATTTTCTTAGGTGGGTTGAGTTTAGACACACACAAGAGATGGTTTTTGGACTTTACAACCTGAAAATTTCAAAAAGCCTTGGTCCGGTCATGTTATGAGGTTTTTCATTTTTGCTAAACTGTATTTATGAAAGTGACTGTAGGGTCACACTCTGATAAATATTACAATTTGTGAGCTTTTGTTAAATTAAAGATGTGTAAAACTGTATATGCTGTTGTAGAAATCTGCTCCAAAACTTGTCTTAATGTGGAGAGGGGCTGTCGAAGCCTCCTGTGACCCAGACTTATTGAACAGCACTGGTAGCAGTGAAGAGATATTAGCTTCTTAAAGGTTATGAGCGGGATTGATCTCTCTAACCAATCAGAGATTTTCAATTATTTCTGCTTGATCAGTAAGTTTTGTTGAATTTTCAATTCTGGTATTTTCATAACGACAAATATCTGAAGAGCTGGGCAGAGCGTGGTGTAGCATAGTGGAGCAGGGAGAGAGAACGCTGGGCAGAGCAGAGAGGATTGATTTGGAGTTTTATGCTAGTGCTACCTTAAGTTATATATTGTAGCTTAAATGGGCAATAAACATTTTTAAAAATGTCACAAATACTCATAAGGAATATATTATGAAAAGAAAAACACAGTAAAATGTGAAGGTGTGGCAATATACAGTATCAAAAATTGCTAGTCAAAGCACAGTGGCAACACAGCTCTGACTGTTAAAACTTGTAATTACTTATCTAAGGTCATAGCCAGTAGATGAGCAATTTGATCTTAAGTATTTGTAAATGTGTTTGGGGTTTTTTGTCTTTTCTGTTTAGCTTTAGTTGGCAGCATTTATAAATAGTATCAATCCTGTGGAAAGAAAAATGAAGTGAGATATTTTTGTTTGTGCTGTGTTTGGAAGAGAGAAAGAGAGAGAATTGGGGTTCCCCCTCCTCTACTCTGAGATCAGCCTGTGTGAGTGGGTCTGTTGTATGTTTCCACTTCTCTTCTTCAGCACCTTTTACCTTTGACATTTAGGCCAACCCCCCACACACTCTTCCCTCAGCGGATGCTCCATGCAAGGGGCCACAGTAAAACACACAGTACCCAGCTACAGGGGATTTCCCCTATTGCTGTGAACATGAAGCGTTTGTGTGTACCTGTATGTGAGTGTGTGTCTGTCCACTTCCAGGGGACTCCCAGAGTTGCAGACTGAGTGGGAGTAAAAAAGCTGACAGTGAAAGTCTAAACAGCAAATCATCAAATCATCATGTGTGTGCCTCTGTATTTGTGTGAAAAATTGTGTGTGTTCGGCTTAGGAGGACTTGTGCCATTAATTTCAGTCTTATCCAGGAAGCTTGTCAGTAGGAGAGGAAGCCATCAGGAAGCTCTGTCCACATTGTACTGTCTTTAAAGAAGCTGTGATCAGCACATCCAGATAGCACAGTGATCATTTTGACTTGTAGGCAAATCACGGGTATTACTACTGTAATAACACTAACTTTGGTGTTGTTCTATTTAAGTCACCCAGAAAGTCAGTGGGCCAGTGGGCTAGCATGCACAATACCAGGACCCTGAAACTGATACAATTGAAAGAAATTCAATTGTCATTAATTTTATTATTTACACCTGTGCTTTTCCTTCTGTGAAAAATGTATGTTTTTACAAGTTTTGACTTGGCAGAAATCGACAATTACAACTCACTAATAATTATATATATATGTGTGTGTATTTTAAAGACTATATTGGCAATTTAAAGGGGCCCTTTAATATTTCTAAATGAATAGCTTAAAAACCCGCAGCTAAAAAATACAGCTGCTTTGAATGTGTGTGCATGTGCATATGTATTTGAGTGTGTGTATGTTCTAATGGGACCTCTAATTAAGACTCTGGGGGTATCTGCTATCTGTCAGCGCTGATCGATTGGCCCAGGGTCTGACAGCTCACCGTGTGTATGTGTGTGCCCATGTGCAAATTTGAGTGTTTGTGTTTCCCTCCTCAAGAGCTCTCTGCCCTATTTTTCATTTTATTTTACTTGTCACTCAGAAATGTCACTGTTGTAGTGCAAAATTAACACAAATTCATTTGCACACATACAACCAAATTGACACCACTACAAAAAAGTGTGTGAATGATCTTTTTCAGCATATTGCTTAAAAACAGGCAATGCCTGACAGGAGTAGTGGTCACACCGCATAACCAGACATGCACGCACACAGGATCATAAGCAGAAAAACACAGTCACACAGTTCAAGTGCACTTTCTGTTTATCATTAGAAGCCATTGTGTTTCCTGTGAAAACTGTGGGTCTTCTGTCATAGATTTTATATAGAGCATCAACTGTGTGGTACACTCCACACTTGCTTATTCTGAACTTCACTCTGCAGACGTCCTTCTTTCCCTCTCTTTCACACACACACACACGGACACACACAGTTGTCCACAGTTTCACTACCACAGTTACTATCAATCACCTGGCTGTCCGAGAGTCAGTGCTTGTGTATGTGTTAGTGTTCGTGCTGTTGCGTAGGAGGGCAAGTGAGTGATGGCAGTGACAGTATAGATGGCATGTGCTGTGAAATGTCACCGTGGCGATCGATGGTGTTTAACGAGGGTGGAGGCTGATCTGGACCTGATGCTAACATGAGGCCCCCCTACACTCTCCTAATTCCCCTCTACTCTCTTAGAGAACCCAGGGTCCCTGGAGAGAAAGACAAGGCCTTTTACCTGTCAAGAGGGTTTTGTGTCTGAACAGGCACACACACACAGGCACATGCTTGTTTTTGTCCTTGGTGGGGACTTTAACTTATGTACATTCGTTTCCTAGAGACTCACCCTAACCGTTCCCATAGCCACTATTTGCCTAACCCTAACCTTAAACCAAGTCCTCCCACTAAAATTCAATGATTTACATAAAGCTGGGACCCCACAATGTGAGCATGTAAACAGGTTTTGGTCCCCACAGTGTAAGTAATATCAGGAAGAGGAGAGAGCGCACACACACACACACACACACACACACACACACACACACACACACACACAAACATTATCTATATAAAATCAGCTCAAATATGGTCTTTTCATTATTTCACACAATGTCATGTTTGATTTTTTACTGTGTGTTTTTGTGTGACAGAGTAAATAAATTTGAAAGAATCAAAACACAGGACACAGTCAGGCAGAATAACCAGAACTAGTTTATGATTTCAAAGTGCTGAACAGAAAATCCAGTGAACCAAAAAGAAAGAAAAAAAAATCGAACAGGAAACTCAAACTCAAAGAGGGACATTGAAAAAACAACTTTTTAAAAACTTTTTCTTTTTGTGTTTATCTTCTTCAAAAATCTATGCACAACTCGTACCACAATGTTTGAAAAAGC